CGTACTTCTATGCACACTCATGATACAATTTGTTGGAATATTCCGTAAAGTTAAAAATTATTTTAAAATGTGGGCTTTGTCAACATACCAATTTCTAAAGTGTACCGGGATTCGCCCAGTATATATACTTATAATAAACATCTTAATTACATAAAAACATGAAAACATTTAGAAAACTTGTAAATAATAGAACACTTATCCTAATTTTGTCTATAATTGACGTTTAAATGAGGTAAAACAGTTTTTAGTAGTATATAGTATATAATATAGATATCTACCTGTGATATATTTATCTAGAAGCTATGTAGAACGTTTTGATTCCTTCAATGTGACAAGGAATGGATTTAGATATGAGAAGCTTTGCTAAAAATCCTAAAGAATTAGACTAGTATAGCTTAACATTCAGTACTACATGGAGAGGCATATTATTTTATGTATGTGAATAGTTTGGTAGTTCTATAAAAAAATTTAAGGCCTTTTAAACTAAACAACTGAACAGAATTTGCATTAACCAGTGGCGGATACACGGGTGGGGAAGGGGGGTAAAAATAATAGAGAAATTCCACCCCAAGGTCTAAAAGGTCCAAAATTAGATAAAAGTTTGGGTTTATTTTTTTATGTCTTTTGATTGGTGTTTCATTGGAAGTTCTTTCCCCAAGTTGTACGTTCCCCTTCCCACAAGTTGTATGTTCCCCTCCCAAGGCAAATATCTAGATCCCGCCACTGGCATTAGCTGATTAAAAATCCGATCCAACTTAAATCGCATCTACAAATCCTAAAAATATGGCTAAAGAATTTTCTGACTATACCCTGTATTATCAATATATTTACTTATAAACCTGCTATACGTTGATTGCATTTGAAATGACTCACCCATTACACATTTTTGCGAAATACTACCCACCTGTCACACCTGGCGGTACATCAAAGGATGCCGACGAGGATTGTTCAACTTGTGACTCAAAGAAAACAGCCATCAAAGTACTATAACGACAGAATTCACAAATAAAGTGATAGGTTGTCAATGAAACAACAGTTGAGCCAGACTATGTCAAACGTTTTCATTGAAAAATACAACACGCTCAGCTATTGCCAGATAAAAACACATGGTGACACTTTTATGATCTGGAGCTATGGGGAAGGGAGTGAATTGGGTGATTATATAGACAAGAACTTAAAAATAGTATGCCTTTAAGATGGTCAATTGGGATCACAGAGGAGTAAACTAAGAATGACGAAAAACTAAACACTAAGAATGAACTTGACCAAAAATTAAATTTATGACAAATATGGTCCCCAATAACCATTTAACTATTCAAGACAAAGTGGTAGAACTGGTGGAGAAATATACGTAATTGAGTCATGAAATAAGAATCAGCAGGGATAAAAAAACATGCGAAATCCAAAGACGAATTACTTTAGCGCGGACAGCCTTTGGAAAACTGCGAGACACACTTAGGGTCAACATACCAATTAGCCTCAAAACAAAAGTATTTGACCAATGCTTATTACCGGTCATGACATGTGCGTAGGAAACTATGACTACGGCTTCGAAATTGAGAGTGGTACAGAGACAAATGGAACGGTCTATGCTGAGAGTGACGTTGCGGGACCGAATAAAAAACGAAGGTATGCGAAGAAGAACGAGTATTGCTGACGTTGTGGAATGCATAGCGGAACTGAAATGGAACTCGGCAGGGCATGTGGCGAGAATGCATGATTCATGATGGACGAGTCAAATTACAAATTGGAGGACAAGAGCAGACAAAAGGCACTGCTCGAAGGCTACAAATAGTGCGCATAGATTTAAGACCGTTAAGAAATGTGATGCAACGAGTCATGCAATTACCCGAATAGCTTGTCCTTATCAGCAGTATTTGAGCGGATATTAACTTAGTTCGTGTCACACATGATTCTCCTTCCGGCTCGAGGAGATAAGAATACGCAGGGGCCAGAAGACCCTGCCTGTCGTAAGAGGCGACTAATGGGCGGATATGAGAGGTGGAGGGCCGTCGTTTGAGGTGTCGGGTTGGTAGAAACGCACTCGAGATGCATAGTCATCTCGGTCACCGATCTACATTCCTAGTATCCGAGACGAGCACCTCGTGGGACCACTCTACTCTCATTTTCCACAAGAGCCGGTGTGGTTGAACGAGCCAGGTACGGAGGCTCCTCCGGAAGCTGACACCGCGGAAGAGGGAGCGGGAGACTCGGCACGTACTACACCTCGGAATGATCAACGAGTGTAGAGGAGCGATTCTTCGGCGGCGACCTGTCTACGTGCGAGGTGGTATTCCACCACCTGCGTGAATTTCCACCTCCGGCGGGAGGATTCACGGAAGGGTGGCGTGACCCGCAACACAGGTACTACGGGGGAGGTGGAGCCCCACGACGTTTCGGCATCGTGCCACCTCCAATTGGTTCGGACTCGTAGGGGCAGTGGGAGCGCTAACGATGGTATGCCGAAAGGCCAGGTAGAATAGGGGCCCGCCAATTAAAATTGGAGGGCACAAAGCTATGCAATGTCACACATGATTAACTGATGTTTACAATTATAAAATGTTTTGACATGTGCTTGAAATTTCAGATGTAACCTAAAGCAGATTTTATACGATATGTATATTGTATACTGAACATTGAACATTGGAGTACTGGTCAAGCTTTTCAATGATGTCCGGTCCATCTTATTACAAAAACATGTCTTAGTCTGATCCGCCAACCCAAATTTGCCGGGAAAGAAAAAAATCGAATTAAAAATTCTTTACTTTTTCAGCAAATATAGACCTACAAATAAAAATTTTTCTCACGAACCGTTAGATGTAGAAAAAATTCTGAGCATGGCATAAGAGCGAGCGGTCAATTTTATGTAAGAAATGTCCACTCGCTTGACTCTCGGACGAAAATTGACGCCAATTATAGCCGAATAACAAAATTTGAAAAAAATCCAAGTGTACCCCCTTTGTTCATTTTTTCCAATTTTTATAAAAAGAAAAATTTTTATATTTTGGTGCAAGCACTCGGTCCAGCTTATTACAAAAACATGTCTAAGTCTGATCCGCCAACCCAAATTTGCCGGGAAAGAGAAAAAATCGAATTAAAAATTCTTTACTTTTTTAGCAAATATAGACCTCCAAATGAAAATTTTTCTCACGAACCGCTGTTTATTCGACTGGTGATATCCCTGAAGACTGGTTAAAGTCCAAATTCATAACACTACCAAAAGAATAACGCCCGAAAAACTGTAGCGATTATAGAATGATAAGCCTTATGAGCCACACTTTGAAAATATTTCTACGCATCATCACAGTAGAATCAGAGATAAATGTGAAGAAGACCAGGATGAAACACAATTTGGCTTCAGAAATGGACTGGGAACTCGGGACGCCCTCTTTGCACTAAATGTATTACTGCAGAAATGTATTTATTGACTATGAAAAGACTTTGATCGAGTACAGCATCCCAAATTAATTACAATATTAAAAGATAAATGAGTTGATAGTCAAGATATACGATTCATAGAAAAGTTATACTGGCGTCAAACAGCGACAGCTTGCATAAACGGAAAATCAACAGAAATATGTAAAATACAAAGAGGTGTCAGACAGGGTTGTATACTAACCTCACTGTTATTTAATTTATATTCAGATAGAATATTTAAAGAAGCGCTGCTTAATTTGGAATGGGGCGTGAAAGTTAATGGAATTCTGATAAATACAATCAGATATGCAGACGATACAGTTATTTTAAGTGATGACATGAATGGACTACAATGCCTTTTAAATGCCATTGATACAATGGAAGAGAGTTTGGCCTAAACATAAACTGTTCAAAAACAAAACACATGGTGTTTAGGCCGTTTAGCACATCAAGATGCACGATTATATGTTGATGGTCATATAATACTCAAAATGTCCAGTTTTAATTATCTTGGTTGCCATATTACTGAACAACTAGATCCAGATCAAGAGATGAAATGTAGAATCGAGATAGCCCGCACGACATTTTTAAAAATGAAGTCATTCTTCTGTAAAGATAACTTGCAACTTCAACTTCGAAAGCTCATGGTTAAATGCTACATTTGGTCAGTCCTCTTATATGGTGTCGAAGCATGGACATTAAAAATATCCACCATTAATCGTCTGGAGGCCTTTGAAATGTGGCTGTACAGACGTATACTAAAAATTCCATGGACGGCTATGCTGACAAATGTGGCAGTCCTTGAGAGAGCAAATGCTGCTCGCGAGCTGCTTTGATAACATAAAATGTAGAAAGATGGCCTAATTTGGACACGTAGGGGAGACCGATATCATATTCTTCAACTTATTATGATGGGCGAAATCGAAGGGAATTGGTAGAAAGCAGGCCTCTTGGTTGAAGAATATCAGGGAATAGACAGGAATAAGGAAACCTAAGCAACTCTTTAGAATAGCTCGAGACAGAGACAGTTTCGCTATGTTAATCGCCAACGTCAAGGGGACTTGATAGGGCACGTTAAGAAGAAGAAGTATATTGTACATATGTATATATTAAGACTTGTAGCAGTAAAAGTTTTATGATTCAAAAGTTGGTAAAAAGTATATGATTTGAAAAAAGAATGATAGTAATGCATTCATTATGTCCAGGAGTTGAGTCCAATAATGTAAAAATCTTCTATATAAGTTCTTTATATCGTCTATTAATTACAACAGATATTGCTGGTTTAGAAACCATTAAATATTTGTTTAATTTTTATGTAATGATTTCTTAATGTATATTTGTTAACGCAAGTATATTATGCAAGTATCTATTAAAACATTTCGATTAAACACACCTTCTGAGAGTAGACATTCGAAACGAATCTGCCGGACTAAACAATGCTGGCGTCGATTGGGACAGCACTAGTGATCCTTCTCTAAATAAAAAAATCTAATGTCTACACTACTCACTAGAACTACTTAAAAATCTGATTACTACAAAATCTATTCAAAAAAGTAGGCGATAAAAATATATTAGATATGTACCTTGAGTTTCTTAAAAGGCTATTGTAAGAACCTGCAGGTTGCCAAATTTGATCGGTACCCATACGAACACCAATGTTGTAGTTAGTTTGTTCCTAAAATTAGATATTTTAAATAGATCGACATTTCATTAATAATCTACAATTTTGATGTCAAAATATGACGCTATAACTCAAATCACAAAAAAATATTGTTAGAGGTAATGGATTTTAACAAGAGCTATGAGTTATGCCGATTCAGTACACAAGTTTACTTGTTATTTACAAGGTCATAGCTCTTGTCAAAATCCATTACCTTTACTTTAAGTTATTCGGCTTCTTTAGATTCTTATTATTCTATAAATATATTACACACACAAATACATACATACGCACGCCTAAATTTTTACATACCCATAGCAATACTCTTTTGCATGTTTGTACTACATAAGTTACAACTTTTAAAAAATAGTAAATAGTATCTTACCTTGAGGATTTTTTTCTCCTTAGCCAAAACTTTTAAAATAACTCTGTAATTTCTAGAATACTTGTTCAAAAAGCGAGTCAAGCTAATCAAAAAGCCATCGATAAATGCCCATATCAAATATAAAATTTCAAAGATTTTCTGTCCAATTGTTGCTTCTGAAAAATACAAATACAATTGTATATATATATATATATATATATATATATATATATATATATAAATAAATATATATATATATATGTATATATATATATATATATATATATATATATATATATATATATATATATATATACTAATGACAGTAAACAATGAGATATCAGATATCAACTTTTATATGTCAGTTGGTTAATGACTGTGTCACGTTTTACGTTTTGGTAAGTAACATATCTTTATTGAACCTAAACCCAAGAAACATTAATTTTATATTATATATATATATATATATATATATATATATTATATATATATATATATATATATATATATATATATATATATATATGTAAGAAAAAAGAAGTACTTGTGACTCGTTCGGAAAAAATATTAAACTGTTTTGGATGGGTTGGAGTCAATAAAAGGGGCTATTTGTTGACTATTTTTTAGTCGAGCTTTCAATTGTGATTATAATTATTATCAAGAGCTTCTAAAAAATACAAAATATCCTACAAAGTTGAACAAGAAATAAAAAATCTTTTGTTAACTCACCAAATAAAATTAGTATTTTATATAAAACTGCTGCTAACATATTAATTACAAAAAATATTAAAACAAAAATGTCCTATTCTAATAAATGTTTCTCTGTAATAAATTTTGATAAAGTTTCTTAACAAAAACAATTGAATTTGTAAACAAAAATTGAATAGCTACAAATCAGCCTCAATGTCATAAATACCAACTTAAAAATTTTTATTTTTGACATATTGTCAAAAATAAAATTTTGTTTGAAAAAATTATTTTTTGTTTAGTAACAAAAAAGATGAAGATTTATTCACCATTGATAGATGCCTGAAAAAATGTAACAAATACATGGAAAATTCAAAATGTGATATTTTACTGATTGCATATATAAGTTACATATAAATAATATAATTATAAATTTTGCTTAGATTTTGAATTTCTGACCTTTTGTTTAAATTATTATCACTTTTGCTAATACAAACCATTTCCAAAAAAGTTCTTTTAAATTTATTACTTTCACTACATAAAATTTTAATATTATCAAAATCCATAATATGGTCTTTGTCTATTACATGCTCTGCCAAAGCACAAGATGGTTTCTTAATTCTGCAATCACTTTTGTGAGAAATATTGTGATTTGAGATATTTCTTCCAGTCTCACCAATATACTCAGCTTCACACTGAGTACAACCAATGCTGTATACTACATTTGTTTGATCTAATTTGTCTATAGGATATTTAGTTTTGGAATATAAAGATGAAATGGTTTTGATGTTTTTTGTTGCTATTTTTATATTTATTTTTTTGACATGAGAATTGTAAGAAATACAGTCAATATTTTGAAAACTAGATGGTTCAGAAAACCCATATGTAGTAATAGATTTATAAGTTATTACTCTCATCATCCAAATAAGATGAAAATGAACCTTATAACAGGATTAAAGGAACATGTTTTAAAACTTTCTCATCCAGACTATCTACAAGAAGATCTTCATTTGTTAAAAAATATTTTAATTAAAAACTCTTATCCTCCAGATATGCTACATAGGATGCTTTTTTCTAATTTATTAAATATAAATAACTTAACACCATTTTTTGCTAAATCTCAAAACACTGTATCCAACAATCAGAACATATATTATCATTCACTACCTTTTATACCATCATTAACTCCTAAATTAATACAAACACTAAAGGTTATTGACAATATAAAAATAGCAACAACGGACATCAAAACCATTTCATCTTTATATTCCAAAACTAAATATCCTTTAGACAAATTAGATCAAACAAATGTAGTATACAGTATTGGTTGTACTCAGTGTGAAGCTGAGTATATTGGTGAGACTGGAAGAAATCTCTTAAATCGCATAATTTCTTACAAAAGTGATTGCAGAATTAAGAAACCATCTTGTGCTTTGGCAGAGCATGTAATAGACAAAGACCATATTATGGATTTTGATAATATTATTTCTATGTAATTTATATATGCAATCAGTAAAATATCACATTTTGAATTTTCCATGTATTTGTTACATTTTTTCAGACATCTATCAATGGTGAATAAATCTTCTTCTTTTTTGTTACTAAACAAAAAAGAATTTTTTAAACAAAACTTTATTGTTGACAATATGTCAAAAATAAAAATTTTTAAGTTGGTATTTATGACATTGAGGCTGATTTGTAGCTATTCAATTTTTGTTTCCAAATTCAATTGTTTTTGTTAAGAAACTTTATCAAAATTTATTTCAGAGAAACATTTATTAGAATAGGACATTTTTTAATAATATTTTTTGTAATTAATATGTTAGCAGCAGTTTTATATAAAAAACTAATTTTATTTGGTGAGTTAACAAAAAAAATTTTATTTCTAGTTCAACTTTGTAAGATATTTTGTATTTTTTAGAAGCTCTTGATAATAATTGTAATCACAATTGAAAGCTCGAGTAAAAAATAGACAACAAATAGCCCCTTTTATTGACTTCAACCCATCCAAAATAGTTTATATATATATATATATATATATATATATATATATATATATATATATATATATATATATACAAGATTTAGATTCCTTTAAACATTTACATATTCATTCAAAATAATATTGACAATACACAAACACAATAGAATTAGTCTGTTTTATAAACGTAAAATATTGCCTCTTTTTCTTTATTAACGTGACACATTTCCAAAACAATTGTTTTTATAATTACTTTCTTGCTTCAAAAACCCTAATATTTAAATAGTCTAAATGCTGCCCACTTTTTAAATGATGGTCAACTGCTGCACACGTATTCTTCTTTGTTACACAGTCACTTTTGTGTTATGTTATTTTCTGTTTAAGCCATTGTGAAGTTTGACCGATATAACATATCTACAAGTTGCCTTGTTCGGATTGTCAGAGTTGTTATGTCGGTCAAACTTTACAATGGCTCAAACACAGAATAACATAACACAAAAGTGACTGTACAACAAAGAAAAATACGTGTGCGGCATCATTTAAAAACTGTGCACCCTTTTGACTACTCAAATCTTACTGGTACTGTGAAAGAAGATATGTACTTCAATTAAGATTCGACGTTTGCCTGACCAAATTAGTCCCTCCTAGGTTTGACGAAAATTATTTAGTCAAAGGCCGAAAATGGAATTTATTTCGGGGTTTGACTAAGACTGTAAGTCGGCCCTGAGGATTGACTAGTCAAACCTAGGAGCGCCGGAGTTTCAACTACGGACTAAAACATCAAGAAATATCTTACTGGGTTCTGTCAAAGAACTAAAATCTTCATCCCGTTCTTGACTTGTACTAGGTTGAGGTTCATCTTGTATTCTCACACTTTTAGGTTCGTGTTCCGCTATCTGAAAAAATTTTAAAAGTGCTCTAAAAATACAGAACAGAATAAAAAGAGAGGGAAGGGAATATACAGTTTTTATAATGTTAAATTTAATACGTTTTTATTTAAACGTTGCACTAACAAGGATAAAATACATATCAAATATTGCGTTTATGAATATAAAAACATTCTTTATAAGCTTCCATGTACTTTATCTTTAAAATTAAGTATATTTACTATCTATATGAGATTTTATGACATCTGAAAACCTCCGCTGTACCCCATGTTTATAAAAAGACTGCAATAATAATACACATAAATCTCCAAAATGTGAATATGAAATATGCATAACTTAAATAGGGCAAAGTATTAGAAACGCATAATTGTCCCGAGCTATGATAGATCATCAATTGCACCGTTAGTTTATATTTTGATAGTCCGCATAGGATAATATCGAAATTAGTTTATATAAATACTATATTGTATATTCTAGTATTAGTTTTTGGGCTTTTGAGAGGAATAACTGCCACTAGGTACGACGTTGACTGATTTACGTTTAATGTTTTGAAGGCAAAAGTAATTTTGTTTAATACTTCGGGTTTTCTGACATTTAATTATGAGGTTTAGGTGATAATTATAGGACAATGCGGTCAATTCTATGACATCTATAACTTTCTTTAGCGTAAATGAGATGAAGTGTCGATTCCAACTAAAGTATAGATTCGATGTGGAAAAGAGAAACGAAAGATAGAGATCAATGGAGACGAACGAAAACATCTAGCATATTATTATTCACAATATAAATAGATGAATAAATAGACTCTGTCTATAGTTTTCCTATAAAACTTTTTCTGTATCCACTTGACAACGTAGATACGCAACATCATAGAATAGTTTGATCATCTTGTATACTTACTACTAAGTTGTCTTCTTCTACACGGACACTGAACACTTAAGACAAAAATAAACGACAATGATCCTTTTTAACTTAAAGAGATCTGACATATAAAATGAGAGGCTATGGATACAATGAAGTTATGATGAGACTGATCTCTTCGTAATTGAGCAATCGGAGCTTCAGAGTTCGAGTAGGACTGTCCGAATTCAGAACTCTGGAGGCTGGAGTACCGCAGGGAGCGGTGCTGTCACCCCTACTGTATACAATATACATTGCCGATGTTCCAAGAACACCTGGAACACTACTCAGCTTTTATGCAGACGACACACAACAAATCCTGGCAAACATATAAATATTAGATAAGTTCGTAGCACTATCAACCAAGATGATTTTTAAGACAGCCTTCAAAGAAAAATTTAAAAAAACTTAAAAACGACTTCGGCCAGCAAAAAAAATGACAAAAAACTAAAAAAGGGGAAAGCCACCCAAAAATTAACAAAACCTCAAAGCCCGGGCACGAAGGGCCTACATACCTACATTATTCGAGCACCGGGCGTAGCCCAGAGCGGAGACTCGAGGCCATCGCAACAATTTCAGTTCGAAGATACGTCAATAGAGAAAGCAGGATAAAAGCACCTCCATGAACCTGCATTGATTGAGTTAGGATATCGAGTTGTGAGTTCTTATACCCAGGATTCTCACACGACAAACACTTGGCTAATATAAGATTCCCTATCGCGCATCAGAATGTTATAAGGGGGAAAGAGATGGTCTGGAGCATTGAACGCGGTGGAGTGGTTCCTGGTTTCACGAATTAATACACCTCGCTCCAATGAATTGTAACACCCAAATGTTTTTCAAGGGGCTGTGCAAGTCTCTCAGGCTGGGTTTAATCAAATTGTTACTGCTAATTAAAGAGATACAAATCCTACATCGCTAAAAGTATTACTAGCAGTATTAAGAGGCCATACGAAATTTCATAAATGGTATTGTAGTTTCTTTGCTACACGTGTTACAAATCTTAAAATGTTTTAACACATCATGAGACTTGTTTTATAAGTACCTGTTTTAAATATTGTAAACTTTATGTTTTTATATTAATTAATAAGAGCAAAATAAAATAAAATTAACATTATAAAAACTGTTATTAATGTTTATATTTCATATGAAAATTTGCTAAGCAAAAAACACAAAAAAAGGTGTATAAAAATAGAAAACAAACATAAGCTCACCAAAATCATTGCAATGTACAAAAATAGGCAAATTAAATTTTTACCTGTCGTAAGAGGTAGATAACAATTATTGCTTTCTTAATCTAATACTTACCTTATTCATCCCTAACTAATTTATAAAACCAAATGAAATGTATGTAAAGCTTTGCATTACGTACTCAAAATTGATCAAAATTGTTAGTGAATGCACAAATAGTTCCACATTAATACTGAAAGTTAAGTAAGAGTATAATAAGTTGGTTAAATTTATTAAGTTGTTAAATTTTCTGAACTGTAGACGTTCGCTAATGAAGAAAATATTGTAGAAGTAGGAAAAGTAGTAAATATTAATTATTATTATATATAGTTTAGGATTAGTGCATTTCCGTGTTTTGACCAATTTTGGTATTAACATTATAATATGCGCAAAGCGTAGATATTTTGTCTATATCCTGGATGTACATTGTGAGAGTCACTACATCAATAATACTTAAAATAGTTCCATAAAAATTATAAGTGCTCAGTTTATTCGTTCACTCTACTTCTTATGCATTGGGCCAGTATTTTTTAAGTAACTAATTTTCATTAGTTATTACTACTGGATACTATTTGTAAAAGCTTGCTCAAGTAGGCTGAAACTATGATCAGTTTATTTCAAAGTAAATGTCAAATGGTCCCTTTTGTCAACAAAATTGATGACGTTAAACACAATTTTATTAAAATTATTCTTAGTAGAGAAAACAGTAACAAATTCACGTAGAAGATTTTTTTAATGGCCCACTACCAGATTTACCTACTCTACCAGATGAAATTAATAAAAAGGGTACTGAGATCACTAAATATGAAGTAAGGCATGCGATAACTCTAAAAAACATAGAAGAGTCATAGTTTCCGATAATTTAGATTCAGAAATTAGATGGGATACAGATTAGAGGGGACAAAATACAGCCTTGCCTCAGTCTACGCATGATTTTCACATATTTTCACAACCAGACAAGCATATACGTCGCAGTTGACGTTTCTGCATCTTTGAAATAAGACTTGCATTGAGAACAAAGTCTCTCTCGTATCAACAGCTTTTCGAACTAGTTGGAGGGAAATTTTATTTTGTATATAAAAAAGACAAAATACAGGATAGTTTGTAAATAAATACCCTAAACGCTAAATGCTACAAAATTCAGGTTTTGCTATACGGAATGGAAGCTAGGATGATTTTATCGGAATCATCTAGGAAAAATCTGGAGGGGTTTAAATTGTGGTGCGACAGACGAATACTATTATCTTATGGATTGTCCGAGTTGCGATTTCTAAAGTTCTCTCTAAAAAAAAAACAGAAATTAAAGTACTTTGGAGATATTATTAGAAATAATGAGATTGCTTTGAAAATCTCTAAAACATGTGTTTCATTAATGTATCTTTTATGGCCTTGGCCTAACCAATTGACCAGCATTGTATTGTTTACTACAATATTCAACCTAGCTTCATTAAAAGCTCTAACCAACTTAGCTGTATACAAATAAGAAATTATACATTGACATACTTAACTCCACAGGGTATCAGAGTCATAAGAAGAGAAACAAGTATTTGGCAGGAGTGTACGGTGATATTAGGTAATGTTTTGTGACATTTTATTTGAAATAAACGAAAAACAAAGTTATATCTTCAAGGATATAAGTTACTTAAAGATTATTACACTTACATTGAGTATTAATACTTAATGTTTTACATGATAACTACTCATATTATCGGTAACAATATGAACATATTCAAAATTAAATTCTTTCATAATCATGTTCAACTAAAACTTACTATTTACTGTCCTTTGCTCAGCAAAATACTGTTTAGTAGTGTAAACTAGTCAAACACCATAGAAAGTGAAGTAATAACTAGTGAGTGAACTAATGTACCACACATCACAATATTTAAAGTGCTGGAAGTAATATTACAATAAAAATATTATATTTCTACTTTAATAAAGTCAAGCAAGGAAAATAAAGCAATAAAAAATAATAATGAAGAAGAAAGCTCCAAAATGCAATAGTGACTAAGATATATTTTTATTAATATTATTTCTAAAGGCGACGGTTTCTAATGAACTACTATATTTTCAAAAAAATCAACGTAAATTATTTAGATATCATGGTAATTTTAACATAGGCTACAATAGTTAAACAAATATTTCATTAAGTAATATTGGCAATATTGCCTTCTTGCTTAATATCCGTATAAACAGATTTTTTTAATTTAGATATTAACATACCTAGATCCAAATACTACCCAGAAATTATTTTTTTTAATTTTTTTTTTAGGGTCTATGTGATTAAAAAATAAGGTTCAGCGCAATTTTAGCCCACCACCCCTCTCCCCTGTCCTTAAAAACGTAAATTTTGCGTTTTTATTTTTTTTAGTGGGATGAAATGGATTTAAAAACTTTAAAAAACTCACACGTGTAGTTGAGACTTTTAAAAAACTCGTCTATTTTTTAAAGACCCGTATGTGGAGTGTACATAACATAAAAATACTTTTTTTTTGGAAAAAACCTAAACTTTTTTTTAGGTGGCTCAAAAATTATCCTTGATTTTTTCAGATTTTTCCGTATAGTGCCCCATCTTCAAAAATCCGAAAAACTGTTTTTTCGGGGGGTTTTCTCCATTGTATAGACTTCAAAATAGATCAAATCATGGTTGTTCTATAGGTATATATATATATATATAATATATATATATATATATATATATATATATATTTTTAATTAAATGAAGTCTTTATGAAATTTAAAAAATTCGGCAAAACGCCTTTAAACCCCCCAAAAACTATGTTTTTCACAGTTTTTAAGGGTTTTGGCAGGTTCAAACATATTTTTTGACATCGACACAACCTCAGTTCAATTTGTCTATTTTTATAGACCCGTAGGTT